ATATCCTTGATTATTCTTTTTATGTAGGTGGATAATTCCTTTCTATCAGATAGGCCCTTAGTATGTTTTAATTCCAGGTTGTTTAAAAATAAGTTTAAAAAGTTCTTATTTCAGTAGTTTATTATAACGTAGAAAATAAGATGTATTAATGAAGGCGGATGTAGACGATTTATTTAAATAATGGGGGAATTCCATGTGGTCAGATAATATTTGCAAACAACAACTTTAGACTGTCTCACCAGCTTATAATAAAGTTATTATTTCTTAAAGGTAAATAGTCAATAATATTTTTTTTTTATTTCGGATTTGAATAATTGTATTACTCTAATATAGAATTATCTGTATTGAAGTAAGACAATCTATTAATATTTATGTCAGGCCCCTCACGAGGTAGGCAGGTGTAGTAGTGTACTAATGACTTGTATCCTTACATATATATTTTGACACACACGTAAGTACATATTAATTTAATGAAACAGCAAAATCCAAAATAACTACGAATTTTTGTTTTCTATTTTTAAGGTAGGTGCCTAAATAATACAATAATTATTCAAAGAATAAATAATTTAAAAAATTGGAGCACTTAATTATTAGTAGATAATATAGTATGATACAGTTTAGGCACAGTAAGTGTAAGAAATGTATATATTTACTTACCTATGATAAATCTGAATAAGAATTATTAGAACTGATACATTATAATATACCTACTGTAATTAATTCATCAGTACAGGTACATATGTGTTTGGATATTTTACACTTTCAATCATAAGTTAATAAAACAAAATATTTTTTCGTTTGCGGTATATATGGCTTTTTTTTATTTTTTTTTATTTAGTATATACATAATTTCTAAATGTATTATAACAGCAATATAAGTATTTCAATCGAAGCGATCAAGTTAAATATGGCAGCCAGCTAATAGGTCTACCTGCCGAAAGTAATTATAAGGAAAGCTCTTTTTTGTTTTCGTAATTTATTTTATAACTTGTCGTATTTTTTATTATCTGTAAATATTTATCAATTCTTTGATTAATAGTTGTTTTTTTCTTATCCAAATAACATTAAATTTTATTTACTAATATACAGGATATCAACGCGGGACCCTAATAATGCGTGTTTGACACGCTCTTGGCCTTCTTTTTTATTATAGTTGTAACATAGCAACTGTAGATACTATGTAGTAGATAATACTATCTACATCTGAGAACGAGAACTCAAATGTAGTAAGTGTAAGGTGTACATAAAGACTGCACAGCTATGACCAGTTTTACATACTGATGTCTAAGCCAAAGAAATACTATGTAAAGGTGTTCAGTTACAAACAAAATTTTTATTATAATAGTTATATATCTAATGAGAAAGTCTGTACAACTGTATAATAAAGTAATTATTTTTTTGCATCTTACCCGGGTTTTGCAATATAAAATTTCGTCACATCGAATGCGTATAACCTACAATGTATAACAGCAAAATCATTAATCAAAAAGCTATATCTGTGACACATTATAATAAATGGATATCTGTGATTATACCATAATTTTGTTCTTTGACACGAGTAGTAGTTGAAAAACAGGAGTCTGCAAACAGTATAACTTCTGTATTTTTGTTTATACATATATTTTTATACCACTAAGTAAATGGTAAACAAGCATACGGCCCACCTGATGTTATAAGTTATACTCGTAGCCTATATATATATATATATATATATATATATATATATATATTAATGAAGCATTTATATATAGTTCACATATGTGGCTAGGTATATGAAAGGAATAAAACATGATTAAATCAAAATTATAGGTTTTCACTGTATTTAATTATTATTCTTATCAGCCCACCCCAGTCATGTCAGACATAGGTTTGTTTTAAGCAAATATGACTGGTCCATTGTTACTTCAGCTTGTAAATTCGTTATGTTCAGCATGTGAATTCAAATCCTCAGAGAACCCAGCTTTTTTCCCTTTAGCTCACTGAACGATTGACAATTGGTATAATAGTCGTATAGTTAGTATCCATGTACGCAATTACATAAGGGAATATTGATTGTAGATTTTTGTCTTCGAGATTTGTGATAGAAACAGATACCTGACGGAGTTTTTGAAAAGCTGTATTCTTCTCTGACTTTTTCATTCAAAATTGTATTTATTTACCTAGCTTTTTTAATGGCCGAAAATGAAATGGTAAATCCGCCTGCGCTATCGATATACACTGATAGATGATAGATGAAGATAAAGGTCAGTTGGCCCATCGCGAAGAATTTGATAAGAATTAATTACAAGAGTTTCCAATGGAACCATATGGAGGTCGACATGAGAGGGTATATTTATGTATTCATTAGTACAAATATGTGTACATGGCGGACTTAATGCTAAAAGCATTCTCTCCCAGTCAACCATAGGGAAGTGTCAGAATACTCGAATGCGGTACTACTAATTATTGATATACATACATACTAAAATTACATATATAAAGGAATAAATATATATGAATAACAAATATACTTATACATATATGACATATACTATATTGTACACGAAATTGAGAATAACTTACTGTTCGGATAAAGTAAAAAGGTGAGCGTGAACGTTTTTTTTTTAAAGACAGTTTAGTCGGTAGTCTCTTAATGGCATCAGGAAGCGCGTTCCAGAGTCTTGAAGAATGTAGGAGAAAAGAAGAGTTATTGCTGTTAATAGGGCTGTTATACCTCATTATAAATGATCTGATCTGCCCCCCCCCCCCTCCCTATTTATCTAGTTGGAGCGTGTGTTCTGTGTAAACTTACTTCTGTACAGTCTTGAAAGAAACACCATTAATTTCAACCGGTTCCAGAAAAACATGGTCATTAGTTTTGTCCAAGTTCATTCGAAGGTCGATGCAACGAAATGAATCAGCTAGGCTATTCATAATTTGTTGTAACTCTTGTTTATTTTTATTTTGGTTATGTGCAACTGTAAGAAATGTGCTAATTTAGATCTAGATCTCTTTTGAAGAAATCCTTTAGGGCAGTTGTAAACTCTTTAGAACAGCGTTTCCTAATTTCGCAGAATCTAGGGGTTCCTTGAAAAAGGCTTCAGGGTTTTGCGAAATTATTTATACAGTGTAACAATTACATTCCTCACATTAAAAGTTAAAGGAAACTATGAAGTGTTATATTTTTGAAATATTTCTATAATAATATAAGCTTTTGTTTTTATTTAAATTACATTATTTTTGATTTGTAATAATTTAATATGGGGTTCCATAAAATAAAAGGAGTTTGTTGGGCGTTCCGTTATCTTAAAAATTTAGGAACCCCTGCTTAAGAGGATGCGTATTAAATTACTGTAGATAAGTAGGTAATACACTGTAGAGCGGTGTTTCCCATAGAGGGACAATTTGATAGTTGATAGAGGGGCAATTAAAAAATGGACTCGAAGCGATTTTACCCCCTTATTCCGAGCCATTTAAATGTAATGCTACGAGTAGATATCGGTGCCAAATTAAAAAAAAAAAAATAGTAAATTAAAAAAATGCTGTAAATTTCGTTTGACTTTACCAAAATATCAACTGGTCGATTAGTGTCGTCAAGTAAACTTTGTCGGGAAAAATTATAATATGTATGGGGGCATAAGAATTTTAGAAATGTTCAAGTGGGGCATGGTACCAAAAAGGTTGGGAAACACTGCTGTAGAGAGTTTCAGGATGGCAATCTTACGGTTATAACTTTCCTAACATTAGTAAGTAATACATTAATTTGTAATGTTCTTTAAAGTAAATAAATTTTGTAAGAATTATTTTTATACCATCTGCTCAAAATGTTTATCTATTTCAATTCAAAGTGTTGTATGAAGTCAGGCAGGAAGAAAAGTTAAAATAATGGAGGAAGAGGTTAGGTAAGAAAAAGTTGTATAAAATAATTCAGAACACAGTAGAAAATAAAACAACAGATCTAGAAGCTTGCTCAGTATTTGTATTTATTTACCTAGATACCTAATAATAAATATGTAACTTCGCAAGATCAAAATAATGTTCAGGTTATTTGTTGTAATTAAACATGACAAAAGGCTGTTATTACAAATTCACATTAATAAATATTATGAAGAAGAATATAAAATAAAATACGTCGCGTATTTATAATTGTACGTGTGGCATCTCGTAGTTATATATTATTATTATTTTTTATAAATTATAAATACTCAAAAATCTCTAAATAAGTATAAATAAGTAGTACAGTAATTTATTTAGAATAATCGACCCGCAGTTTATCAGCCATTATAAGCCAGTAGGTATTATAAATTATTAGAATACTGTAGGTAGTATTTATTTTAAATATTAATCTTGGCTGATGACATCTCTGTAAGTTATTAATATTATGCAAGCAAACTAATACAGTATTTATCATCATCACTATTATAACTGACCTGTCATCTAAGACTCTTCTCTCTTAGTTCCCCAAAAGTACGATCCTGTATGACCAGTATTTTTGAGGTCGTCACTATACGAGTATCTCGTTAAGAATATGTGTTTAATTAATTATAATTATATAATAATATCGAATATATAAAATGAAATAAGAATAAATATTAAATTGGTCTTATTTTATTTTTACATACGAGTATGTGGTAAAAATTTAAAGGTGAAGCGATAAGATCTTTCAGTTTACGTTTTTAACATCATTTAAAATTTATACAGTCTTATAAAAACTATATAATCACGTTAGGTTTAATGTATGTATGGACATATTGTTTTAAGTATGAATAAGTACTGATCTTTCTATAAAGATTAGACTTAAGTTGCAAATATTGTCGTAATATAAAGACATAGGGCGAAACTGAGAGTCATTTTTTTATTTGGCTACGGAACCTGTTGTCAAACAGTATCTGTTGTATTGAGCTGTAATATTATGAAGCTAGTTCATTCATGCATTTTCAATAGCAGCCAGACCTCTACTTCAGAGATCACGTGTACAAAGGATAAGAAACGCAACTTGGTTTGTATTGTTTGAACGTTGCAACTGAGTGGTTCACTGTCACCGCTACTTTTCACAGTTTTTAATACCGATGTCTTATGAAACTGAGAATATAACATTTTGTAAGTTTTAGTGTCGCCCTGAATGTTAATTAAAACAAGAACCATAGCATTTTTATTACAATTGAGATTTGTTATATATTAAATGTGTGCGTTAATGGTATTGTGAAACTGGGATAGACAAAATGCCATATGTAATTCATAGGTGAGTGTTATAATTAAATTTAACAATATAATTGAAATGAAATAATTTTTACTTATTTTTACTATAAGTAGTTAGTTTTTCTTTATAAAAATAAAACTGAAACTGAAAATAATATATATATATATATATATATATATATATATATATATATATACATATATATATATATATATATATATATATATATATATATATATATATATATATATATATATATATATATATGAAAGATATAATTAAGGAACTCAACAATATTATTATTCCAATCTTAAACTTAGAGCCCAACACATTATGAAAAAGTAGAGAATCTGAAAAACACCATGAAATTATTTTACGGGAGTTCATTTTATAAATTGGCCTGACCTAGAATAGAACCCGGAACCACACACGGAGCGTACTTTTACGTGCTCTACTGCTGCACTATACAATTCAAGGACACTGTTAAATAAATCTAAGGCTAATAGGAGACAACTATTAGATTTTTATATGATGAAAAAAGTTCTTATATTGACGCTACCAACACCATTATAGCAACCAGATTATACTAAATTGTTATTATTTGTAATTCGAAATATCAGTTTCAAAAAGATACTGGCTACTCATAATTTTAATTAGATTAGCTATATTTTCTTAGATAATTTTCTTACTTATGTATATGTTGTAAGCCGATTAAGGGTAAAAAGCAAAGTAGGTGCAATGCAGGAGAAGAGAAACGAAATAAAATCCTATACCATCTATATAATAACTTGAAGTAGGATAGAAGGATGAAGCAATCCGTGTTAGTGAAGCTTAGTGACTGTTTGACGATCTGAGATAGTTATTCTTTCAATTACTATATTATATGAATATAGGATACTTGATTACATCTCTATTTTATATTTATATTTTTAATTATGCCCATGACTTTGCGTGACGAAACATGCTTACTGACCGGTATAAAAAGTATTTGTTATGTCATTATTCATTCAATTTTAAACAACTTATTATAATATTCATAATAATAATATATTATTACGTGTACAAAGAGCGTGTTTAATGGTAATATAGCTATTATATAATTATGATCTTTACAGAAAAATCGATGTAAATAAACTCATCTATTCACAGTTGCATTTTAAGTTAATTATTTTATCTCACCGATATACTCGATATACGGACATATAAGTAATGCAACTCCATTGTTTTAGCAACTTTTTAAAATTTATTTAGATTTCCAGAATAATAGGAAGAATAATATTATGTCTTGATTTGATATAAAATTTTATTTTTTATTGCTGTGTATAAATTATCTTAGGCATAGAAAATATAATTATTGTATTTAATGCCATATTTAGTGTTTTCAGCGTCTTAGTAGTGAGAATTTTTAAATAAAAAATAATAATAACTTGATAGGAAAAATACGTAGTAAAGTTTCCAATATAGTTTTTACTGTATCCAATAAAGTTTTGTCATTTTTTTTAAGATGAACATATCAGAACAAATTAACACAGAACGAGTGGGTAGCGTATTTTATTTAAATATATGTACATACATGTGCGGGTAATACCTATACACTTGATTGGTTTAATTACAACATTGGATCACATAAATTTACATGTGAATCATTCAGGGAAAATCCGTATTACTTATGACAATCATAATTATAAGACTTAGATCTCAAAAATGGTGAACTCGAATCTGACCAACACAAGATTGTGTTGAATTAAAATTTCAGATAGCTCTTACAGGCAATACATTTACGAGAAACAGACAGACAAATTAAAGTGATAGCGGTAGGCTTATCCACTACCTCGTTGTCTATCGAGTATTAACATTTAAGTTTCCATATTATTATCATATCAGCTGGTATCTATTGCTAAATATATGTCTCCCACATAAATGTCATAAGGAACGGTTTTGAGCCACCTGCATTCACTGACTCCCTGCAATGCATTTGATGCCGTTACTGTGACTAGTGGGTGGGGGGAGGGATTGTTTTACACTGCGTTTGCCCTTACGGGGTCGCCGTTTAAGAATCTTTCATCCCCATCGGTTGTCGGTTCTTTGAGCTACATGACCAGACCATTGCCCCACTTCGACTTATTTATCCTTCGGGCTACATCGGTTACTTTGATTTTTCTGCGGATATCCTCATTACCTTTGCCACAATAGAAACACTCTAATAATACCTCTAACTCTCGCATCAGGGATTACTTTCGCCGAAGATATCTATTTGTATTTTTTTTTTGTTTATAATTAATACTTTTGGAAATATATAAACTCAGTAATCTGAATTATAGAAAAATTTATAGAATACATTTGAACCGGTGAAATATTCCAAAAGCATATTGCTATATGCCTACTTATGAGCGTATATTATAAAATTGTGAAAACAATTCTGTAATTATTAATTTTATTATCGTTGATTACTCATATAACTTTAGGGTTGTCTGATTATTTATTTGTGTTATTAGAATTGAACGCAAGAATAATTACTACATACGTGCTATTGAAACAGTTTACTATAATGGTTTAACAGATCAGAGATAGGTATTAGATATTAGATCCGATTTAAGGATCTATTTGTTCAATTAATTAGTGTTGGTAATCAATTAATTACGACTCTATTATGTACTAATGTTGATATTTTAGATACGGCTCTATAATTTTCAGATTACAATTTTGGACTTCCATTACTTTAATATCAGTGGTAATGGGGTATCCATCACGTTCGTCTAACGTCGTATTCATCATGGTTGACGATATGGTATGTTATATTAAATTACATTTCTTATATTTATATAAGGTTGATGTGTACTAAAACTTATTATATTATTATTGTTACTCAATTTTTTTTTTATTTTGAACATGAACAGCAAAACAATATATCAAAATATATATTTTTTTAATTATATTGTATTGTATATTATATGGTTGTAATTTAATAAAAAAAGAGCAGTTGATAAGAAAAAAATGTTATTTATAAAATTTAAGCAATTGTAATTGCCTGAAAAACAATATTATGTAAAAATAGCCGTCAAATTAAACATTTGCATTCTCTTGTAAATGTTATCCAGAAAACCGTCATCAGTTTATATTAAAGAATTGTCATAAAACCTAAACATAAAACTTTGCATGAGTGGAGTAGAATATTATATTTCACATATATTATAATATAATTCAATACGGTATAATGGTTTATTTAAAACTTGCCTATATAATAATTAAAGAGTGTTTCTCCCAAAAAAAAAAAAACGGACTTCACTTTTGACAAAACCAGTTATTTTGATCTAACTACTGAGCTGATTTTGATAAAATTTCCATGAGATCAATCTGTAAGTATATATTTTCAGATAATTTTTTTTTTTTAAAAAGGTTTGAAACTGACGATATTCAGAGATAACTAAGATAAAAAAATACAATCAAAATGAGAACCTCCTTCTTTTTGAAGTTGGTTAAATATATGAAACATGTATTTTTAATATTATATTTTATAAATTTAAAAAATTCTGCGGTATGTTAAGTTAATAGATGATAATTAAATGATAATTATACCCGTACCATTAGTAGTTATATCCATCAAAAAATTTGTACATATGATGGGAAAGTCCTTGTTACCCCATTGTCAAACTTGTAATACCATCGATGATGGGCATCATATTCTATTAGAGTGTCATATTAACACGAAGGAAAGAGAAGAATTCATGCGCCACTTTAACTTAAATTGAATGTTGGTCTTATTCAATCTATGTTAGCTGAACTTAAACCAGAAATTTTTGAACATCTCTGTAAATTATTGATGCCCATTAATTCTTCTCTTTCCGCGTCTAGGGAAAGTAGATAAAGTTTTGTTTGAGAAATCACTTCAGGGTACAATAGGTCTGATATATCTGAAGAAGGTAAAATTCCTTAAAATAATATTAAAAAAAAATGAGTGTGACTTAAAAGTACTTGTAGTTGATGCGCTCTATTTATCAATTCCAAATTTATGAAACATAAAAAGAAATTAATCTGTGTATACATAAATACAACCGTCTTTATTTATAAACCGAAATGGTAATTATGAGTGATAAAAAATTAGGGTGTCAGGTTAGTGACTGAATGTTTAAAGTTTGTACATAGGTAAGATGTTTTTATATTAAGTTATTAACACATTTACCGACGCTAAACAAGACACAATAGAAGTTTGTTATTACGACGGTAGCCGTTGCGTGTCTATGAACGTGTTAAGGATTTTATTAATTGATTAGCTAAGCATTGAAGCGAATAGCATGATTTTTAAAAGTAACGCTGTTTATATTTTACATTGTATACAAAAGTAACATTTATTATTTTAGAACTGGTGGACAGTCAGTATGGTTGTCATTTCCAGAAGTATAAAAAACATGTTACTTTATGTTCTCGATTTGCATAATTTTGGTGAACATTTGTCATGGTCTTGTGTCTAGCTTTCCTACTAATACTATAAATGCGAAAGTTTATAGAGATGTTTGGATGTTTATGACTTAATTATGTTTTAACGGCTAAATGTAGACAATCAGAACATAATCTATAATCAGAGACGTTAAGACGTTTTCACATTTATAACAGGGATTTGTTGAGTTTGCTAGTTTTTTTAAATTACTTATTAATACTTTCTAAAGATATAATAAAAATAAAATATTGTAAAGATAGTCGTATTTTGTTGTTTATTACCAGATCGCACTTAAAAAGTTGATCGGGTTTTAATTAAACTTTTCCTAGATAAGTAAGACACTTTTTAGATTAATATTTTTTAAATTATAAGACATGTATCAGCAAATAAGTATTATGTATTTACGAAATCTATTAATATTAGTTACGGAATATATTTATTATATAACTATAAGGTAATCTAAGTAAAAAATGTGTATATTGTGTACGATTAATAAGTAGAAGCATAACGCCCTAAATTTTTGTGTCCTAACCAAACAAAAATGGCATTAAGTTCTACAGGTAGTTATGGACAAATATTTTTGTATAAACTAATCTATAGTGACATATTAATCAGTTCCATAAAGAAACTCAGCAGGAAGTTATAGAAAAATTAAGTATGATAACATCTACTTATTTTATTATGGCTTTTATTGGATACCTACTTATAAAGGTTAGGTAGGGCTTTGTTACAATTACGCCACGAAATATGAAAGGTCAATAGTAAACAACAGTTCAAAGATAGTCACGAGCTGCCAAAATGATTGTCTACATTTATTTTGATTAAAAATATAAGTACATTTTTTTATGATTATATCCATGATGGATGCAATTTTTTTTATTTGTATTTTATATACACATTAGTTTTTCTGAATTCACATTCACATTTATTATTTCTAAATATAGTACTTACATTATTGATACAGATAGCTGTTGATGTAGAAGAAATTTATACAGAAATGTATTCTAATATTTTCTAAAGTAAGCAACGTTTTTTATTTGGTTTAAGATATAGAAGTAAAATGTAAGAACATAAAATAATGTGCTAAAAGTTTGAAAGTAAAAAAAATAAATAAAAAATAAACGGCATAAGTCGTGCTAGCGATTGTAACTATAGCTTGTATACATGTTTATTTTTTTAAATATAGCTATTTTTTTGTTTACTACCTTGTTCTAAATGTTAAATACAGAATTATGTACCTATATAAAGTTTCTACGGAAGTACGGAAATGTTCAAGTTGATACTATTACAATCGTCAATCGAAAGAATGATCGCAATTAAAGCTGTTCAACGAGATTTTTAATCTCGTTAAACGATAGCTGCTAACGAACGAAATCGTACTACGAGCGTTGCGAGGTTATTTTTTTAGTAGGTATCTAGTTATTTCATTCAAATGCAAAAAATTTGGAAAACCACATAATGCACATAAATGAACGACGATAACAATACATAGCATGAACTACCTATGCATTTAATCAGGTAGCTATTAATTATTGTTTTATTCTATATCTCTCACTGACATGCTGCTATGTACCACCATGTTATGATGCTAGGGGCTATCATATTTTTTTATGTCAACACCAATATAATCAATATAAACACGTTATTCTGCTATGTTTTAAAAATGGATGCTGGTAGACATTTTGTGATATGACATATCAGTTATTCCGTTTATCTATGGACGTAAGTATACCATGGCACTATATAGTAGCAGTAAGTTTACCTTATTGTGTAAACTACGAATAAATATACAATTTAACTTGATAATTATCCAAACCTTGTGCCATTGAAAGTAATTGAGAATATCTTATTGTTCTAAACAGGAGTTCCTTGTTGCACAATAACAAACCTGATCTGCACGCAACTAGTTTAGAGGTCCAATAACTTTTCTGTTAGTAGGCAGTTACAATAATAGTTACAACTGTTTAGTAACTATTATCTGGTAGCGAAGAATAATTTTGAACTTGCTTTACTCATAGACATACACGTATAACGTGCTACATATGCTTTATTTTAAACAGACATTTTAATTAGACAGTAAACTATTAATGATCAAATAAAGGGAAATGTTTTAACTTATTAATTTATGACAAAAAGAACTTAAAAAAATATTCTAGATAAATATTTAGAGACTTTGAGACTTTAATTTGTACCTAATAATAAGGTCTCTACTTCTGACATAGATAAACAGATACTCTTTATTATTTCTTCCAAAGTACTTGAAACGGAGATAATACTTTTAATATGCAATGATAGGATTTTAGAATAGAAAACTACAGAAAAGATGAGGAGAGAGACATTAGCAAAATATATTTGAACAATATGTAAAAACAATATGTCAAAAAAATATATAAATTTCGAATGACAATAAGAATATAAAAATGTAGCAAAGAGTTCGCTACAGTACTAAAATAGTAAATGTATTATATATAACTTACATAATGTAAGTCGATACAATACAAATGCTATGGGAAAATTTAAGATTTTATATTTTGTCTGAAAAATTCTTGAGATTGTGCTATTTACTTTTATGTGCTTTTAAAATTATATTTGTTATTTCTATGTAATTGGATAATTTATATGAGAATTGATAAAATGTGCTTATTCATTTTAGTTGCTTTTAAGTTTAATATGGATTTTGTACCTGTTTTTTCTCTCTATCTCTATGTTATATATTACGTGTATACCAAATTTTGTGATGATTTGAGTCGTTAAACAAATTATTACATTTAAAAAATGGATTATTTAGGTATTAATTATTGATGCAGTAAAGAATTTCACTTTAAATATTAATTTAATTTCTGTGTCTTTTTTCTGCCTTCCTTCTTTTTTATTTTCTTATGGGATAAAAAATTCTATAAGAAAACAAAATGGAAAATAAAAAATAAGGAAGAGCAAATAAAAAAAATGTTATTTATGAATAAAAAAATACAGTATAATTGACATATTGTATACGAGTACTATGATTTCAGGGTTGGAACGACGTGTCGTTTCACGGCTCAGATCAGATATTGACACCAAACATCGACACTCTGGCGTATCATGGTGTTATTCTTCAGCATTATTATAGCGAAGCAATCTGTACACCAGCTCGTACTGCTTTGCTTACTGGAAAATATCCCATGAGATTGGGTAAGTTCAGAGACTATTTATGGTTAATCGAAATCTATGGCAAAGTGAGAGTATCTTCATAGTAGGTACATAGGAAAATATTCATTAGACTAGAGAATATTTACATAAAGTTTTTATGATACAAAATGTGACATGTATAGTTATTTCTGTTATCTGCCGTTATATTTTATTCAAACTCATTCATATTTTAAATATAGACTTTTACCCATAGAAAAGTTTTCCAAAATAATTTAATAAATTTGTTACATATGTACGTATAATTACGATAATAAAATATTATTGGTAAGTAGTGCAAATCTTGAGAATGTTTACTTAGGGTCAAGATCACATTATTGGAATAATGTAATATGGCGTAAGTCGCCCACGTACTTTCCCGATTACAAGTACAAAATGAGCAGTTGTAATTTGAAAGTCTTTTTTAGTAATGTTACTTTAATTATGAAACAAATATCCTTTTTAAAAATAATAATTGGGTAATGGTATTTTTATTATTATTTATTTCATAAGACTTATTCAGGGCGTTTTAATACCAATTGTATTTTATTTTCTCTCACAAATTTTAGTATCGTGTACGACTATACTAATACATTTTAAGTGCAAATCACATTGCGAACCTAACTTCGTCCAGTCGTATACATCAGTTCATAGTCCGAATAAAAGAGCTAAGTTAAGCGAACTATGTAAGTTAACTCGACAATGATAGCTAAACTAAGTATTGTTTAGCGAGGGGAGGTTCAAGTGTCAATTGGTAACCTGTGCCTTTTTTTTATACAACTTAGAATGGCAAACAAGCTGACGGCCCACCTGATGGAAAGTGGTAACCGTCGCCTATAGACATGAGCACCATGGACATAACAGAGTATACTGTTTCGCCCATGATATCCCCCATGCGTTGCCATTCCTGAGGTCTCAGATGTTATTTCTCTGTACCTAGTAAATTCACGCCATATCCCACCCTTTAAACCGAAACACAGCCATGCAAACACTACTGCTTCACGGTTGAAACACGAATGGTATGTAATGGAAGAGGTACCCAAGCAATCGACTTTTGTACAAAGTCTCCCTCTGATATCTTTCGCTTATACTTCTTTCTTATTATTCTTAGTCAGTATTATTATTACTTGCTTAGATAGATTTATGCTAAATGAGCTAAGTTCTGCAAAGTTAGTTCATTTAACTCAGTTCTCAGTCTGTCCTGCATTTAATCTCGTCAAACATTATCATCATCATGTCAGTCTTCTATTGTTCACTGCTAAGACTAGTAGGCCTTTTGTAGATTGTTACAAGTAATGGCAATTAGTTACTTGTATACATTGGATAAGTACCTCTAACATATTTAAAGCTCTCTGCTCTTGGATATCGGTTCTTCAAGCTAATGGTCGGCGTCAATACGAATGCAAATCCTCATTTTCTCATTTTGGTTTGTTTTCTACAGCAGTGATATTAAGAAGCCGTCTTTATTACAACACGTAGAATAGATTAGATGGAGTTTATTAACACGATTACTAATTTCAGTTCTCTCCAACATAATTGATAACAAGCACTAGTTAATATCTAAATTATTGAACCAGAAACAAACTCGTGATATTATAATTGGGTAGATTGCTTTAGATACTAACGATTTGTATTTTAGGTTGTTCGTTTTAAGCGATGAGATTATCATTTGCTAAAGCACATTACCTGCATAAAAATGTTCTTATTTATTTAGTGCGCAATAAAAGTTTATTATGATTGTTGTAACATTTTTTTGTATCTATTTAGGATTTGTATAAAGGTAGCGAGATTTTTTTTTAAAAATTAAATTAATAATTAATAAAAATAGTAGTGAATAATTTAACGGAAAATATGGATTAAAATAGGCAATTAAAAGCTTTATTCCAATAGGTACATTATAATTTTTTTCAAAAGTAAGTGTCACAACACATTTTAAGTATCAAGGTTAGTAACTTTCACAACTTTGACCCAAAAAAAGTAATCAGAATGACCTTTGAAATTAAATAGGAGTAGCAGTCACTTAGGGCGCGTTATATATATATATATATATATATATATATATATATATATATATATATATACACACACATATACGTATACATATATCAGTCGTCATATCATAACCAATCTTAATTTTTACAGTTAAATTAATTAAACAGTTAAACTAGAAGAAGAAATGTTAAATATTATTCAGTCTAATATTTTCTTTTTGGCACAGGATCTAATATTAAACTTCAAATTTTAATATGAAAGTTTATTACTAAAAAAGTAAGAGTAGTCTCAACCATTATTTTTATAGTTATACCATAAAAAATATATTTAATAATAACAATTAGCTATTTCAAAAATATTTATTTCCTTAATTTCAGGTATGCATGGTACACCTTTATTTAATTCTGAAGACAGAGGTATTCCTTTAACGGAACGCCTTCTTCCATCGTATATGAAAGAGCTCGGTTACTCCACACATTTGGTGGGAAAATGGCATGTTGGGATGTCCAGAAAAGAATATTACCCTACATCAAGAGGATATGATACTCATTACGGAATGAGAGGGGGTTTTATTGACTACTACACTTATAATAAGGTCGAAACGGTAAGACATTAAAATCCTGATAATTGATATCGTCATTGAAAAAGTGAAAATAACTAATTATTATAGATATCTGACCTAATCGATATTCAAATTTATCACATTATTGCCATAGTTGCATTTCATTTTCACATTATATTGTTTAAAGGTTTGCCATATCTCAGATAAATTACGATGTACGCATGCATAACATCTTCTAAAATGTCTAATAATGTAAATAAAATCTAACAATAAAGTTTAATAATTTATCACTTTTAATTCATAAATATAGTTTATTTATATTTATTTATATCTATTTGCATTATATTTTATTCAGTTAGAATATTTATTTAATATTTTGCTGAATAAACAAAATGTAATACGTTTTGTTTATTTAATAAGCGATTTACAAGTTGTTTAAACATTTTATTGAAATGACGTATAATAATTTAATTTATTTCTATTTAGAATATTATAAAAAAATGGAAAAACAACATCACTTATTTTTCGCGTGACTTCAGTTCGCGTTTATATTTAATTATATATTAAGTTAGTTTTATGTACGAGTATATACATACTTTTGACTTTGCAGTGGCCTGATGGACGCATTCTCTTTGGATTGGATCTTTATGACAACGATATACCACAAGATGAAGAAGAGCGTTATATAGTCGACGCCTTAACTGATAGAGCAGTTAAAAGTAATTACAAGTATATTTTTTTACATCATATTCCAGCTATTATATATTTTATTCTTTAAATATTTTGAAGTTAGTTATATGTTAATTGTGTATTGGCATGATTTTAAAATACTTATTCAACAGAATATGTGATTTACTATATTTGATTAAGTAGCTATAATAGCTTTATAGTTGAGCTCCACCAACAAGAGCGCAGCTCTTAAATAGGTTAGATAGATAGCTATAATTAAATTAAAATAAATATATTTAAAAATAATAATTTCAGTAATTAATAGGCACAACACATCGGTTCCTCTATTTCTCCATGTGACCCATAACGCGCCTCACGCTGGTAATACCGGAGGAATTCTCCAACCACCACTTCACACCACAGTGAAACACAGACATATAGCTAATTCAAATAGAAGACTTTATGCTGGTAAGTTAATAAAAATAAAAAGTTCCCAAAACTACATACCCGATCTCATAAGATTTACTTTGGAATGCATTTCATATCACTTTTTATTCCAGAAATTGTCACTCAAATAGATCGGAGCGTTGGGCGAATAGTACGTGCCCTTGCTGAGAAAGATATTTTAGATGATACAATCATTATATTTGCTTCCGATAATGGGTCTCCGACAGTAGGTGCAAATAACAATTGGGGAGTAAATTTGCCCTTTAGGGGATTAAAAGAAACTCCATGGGAAGGGGCCGTACGAGTACCTGCTTTTATATGGCATTCATCATTTAGGCCCAGAGTCTGGGATGGTTTGATGCATGTTACCGATTGGTTACCTACCTTAACAGCAGCGGCTGGGGGTCGCCTGATAACTGAAATTGATGGCGTAAATCAGTGGGATTCAATTATACAAGATGGTATATCTAAACGCACAGAAGTTCTTATAACTGTTGAAGATAGTGACAGAAATACATATGCAGCTTATAGAGCAGGGGATTATAAAATAGTTGTTGGAAATGTTACGGGCTTGAGCAATAATTATTATGGCGCCGATCTTTTGATTAATAAGGAAAAGGCGCCGGAATATTTTCCATCGCTAAGGTCATGTGACATTGCAAGGATATTTGAATATATGGGACTATATTTAGATATTGATGAAGTTAAGGCTATGCGCGCTGCAGCAACTATTAGACAAGAAGAACCAATACGAGATAGTACACCTTGTCTCCCTTCTCTTAGTAAGTAATTGAAATAATATAATTTATATCTTTCACTCTTTAGCAAAGTTCCTTACATATGTAGTAGTAAAGGAACTTGAATACTATACTATTCACATTCATACTATACTATTCCTGTCTGGATGACTAAAATGTTAGCGATCATATCCTGTAATTTCATTGCCATGTCACATATTTTAAACCAAATCACATTCATGTAAGCACAGCTTCTATGCATGCTTCTTCTATCTATTCATGCGCTTGTACAAATTTTCGCTCAAATTGTGCTTGTTCAGATTTATAAATTTCTCTTTTTTAAGTACAAAATTTAACAGCATCTCTCTAATTTGTTACATTTTTGACATGATGATAATTAGGTTTCAATTCATCATATTATTATATTTTTCGTTGTTTAAATGACTAAAATCAAGTTTTGTTTAACTATTTTCAATATATTTTTGCAATTTACACAGATTTCTTATTTCAGCTCGCGGCTGCCTTTTTAATGTTCGTCGTGATCCAAGTGAGAGTCGTGATCTCTGGCAGCGAGCCAATAAAATTGCTGTTCTTTTAACAAGTAGACTACGCGGTCTTTGGGCAATGCAAAGAAGAAGAGGCCCACTAAATATACAAATAGAGGCAGACCCAGCCAATTTTGACTACAGATGGACTGCTTGGCTTTCAAATCAATCTAATATATCTAATGCAATATTGCCTGATAGCAACAGCAGAGCTAGAAATTATACCAGTAGAAATAAAACGATAGCTAATTCTATTAATTGCGACGGTACAACAGGAATAAGAAATTTTCTATGTATATTAAAAAGTGTGTTTTGATTGTTGTAGTTGTAGATGAATTTATTTATAGTTAGAGATAAGTTTATTTAATTACGTTTTAATACCTGCGTTTGTATAGTGTTATAAGTAATTGTTATGATCTAGGTTTGACACGAATCTGTTACATTGTTGGTAAAACTATCTGTTTTATCAGTTAATATAAAGATATCATCTGTGCAATAGTTTTTTTTTGTTAAGTCTATTTATACCTACTTAAATGAAATTTATTAAATCCTATAACACTGTAATAGTATTTATAGTGTTATAAGATTTAACAATTTACTTTAACTTTAGTAATTTTGATCTATAAACTAAAATGAGATTAAATTTATGGTTTTGATCTTTTATTATGGATTGCTACGATTATTTATATTATTAATCAATGCTGCCATCTCCTTTTTTGTCTCGTTCGTAGTAGGTATATTATATCACCATTATCTCGTGCTGCACGACGTGGTACAATGATAATGTTCTTATTATTATGTTTATCTTGACGACGATGAAGCATATTAACAAAGTATACTATGATCGCGCTTGTAACATGATTTTAACTTAATTTACCTTATTGAAACAACACTATCATATAGAATATACAATAATAGAAATTAAAATGCTAATGTCTATATTAAAAGTGAATGTACAAAAGTATATAAATAAATAAATATAAATAAAATATAACTTAGTTTGTAAACATTTTAGTTAATAAAATTATTATTTTGTAATAATTTATAGTACGTACAAATGAGATAATACATTAAAAACTGACTAGTAGAGGACACCGTCCGATTTTATGTCATTGTGCATTAAAGTTTAAATAAATAAATAAAATAGCAACAATCTTACCAATAATAAATTTGATTACGATAATGTTTGAAAACTTAAAATTCAAAAACTTATTTTAAATTTATAATAGATCTTTAATAGAGATTTGATAAGATATAATATTTGAAAAAAAAAATTACACCGAAATGATTGTGCTTTATTAAAAGTAGTCCTTTATTAACTATGTTTTTACATAGAGCCATAATTTTTAAAGTCCATTCATCGTCATCATCTCAACCATTATCTGTCTACTGCTGAATATTCGGCAGACCTATACAGGCCTATATGCCTGCCATAACGAACGGTCCTGAGTCATTTGCATACATTTGATTGACTCCCTGCAATGCATTTGATGTCATCGCTCCATCTAGTAGTGAGTCGTCCTATACTGCGTTTGCTGAGTACGGGGTTGCCACTCAATAATTTTTTTCTTCATCGATTGTCGGTTCTTCAAGCTGTGTGACACATTGCCATTGCCATTTCAGCTTGCTTATCCTTCGAGCTATGTCGGTGACTTTGGTTCTTTTGCGGATATCCACATATCGGATTTTATCACGCAGAGATTCCAAGTATAGCCCTCTCCATAACCTACTAAGTAATTTAAAGTTTTTACATATGAGCAACCGTGTAGGATCGTGTTTCGGTTCCATAAGTCATTACTGGCAACACACACTAGTTAAAATCTTCGTCTTCAAATTCTGAGGTATTTTGAATAAAAAGATGTGACGTAGTTTTTCCGAACGCTATTCAGCCGAGTTGGATTCGGCAGTTGACATCTCGGTCGGAGTTGGATTTACCTATACGAACAACTTGTCCCAGGTATACATACTCGTCGATAACTTCAAGCGTAGTGTTCGCAATCATAACTGGTATAGGTGTGACATGGATGTAAGTCATGATTTTAGTCTTGTCCATGCCATATTTACTTTAAGACTTACCCTTTGGAAAACACCATTGAGGTAACTGAGCATACTATTTAGATTCTCCAGGAATTCCGCCATGATTATTATGTCATCGGTAAATCAAAGGTGAGTGGTGTATTTGCCATTGATGTTTATATCATATCTTTTTTACTCCAAAAGTTTGAAAACATTTTCGAATGCAGCTGTGAAAAGTTTCGGGGATATGTCGTCACCCTGTTGTACACCTTTCTGCACTAGGATGGGTCTCGTACTCTGGTTCTGTACTCGGATAGACATCGTAGCCTTACAGTACATATACTTCGATACTTTGTTATAAACAACGTTATTTATAAGTGGTCATTAGTTTCTTTATTCTTGAAAATCACGTGTACAAAACGGGCGTGCAAAACGTTTGTTACGTACAAACTTTTCTATGGTAAACAAAGCGATAAAGAGTTTTTATCGGAATTTATATTGTGAACATTATCCTTTTTAAAAACAATATATTTTGTTCTTTATTAAATAAAATCTAAATCACATAAAAAAAAAAAGAATATAGGTACCTAATGAAGTAGGCGAAGAATGACTGATATCAAGTCAAAAGGTGAAGGTTGAAAACATACACCGGTACACCCCACTATTAGATACGCGTTTTGAATATTGTCATTTTGTAAGAAGGCATTAAACGTTTATGGTTTAATATTTATCAGTAGCAATATAGTATTCTTACCATATACAAGAGCAGTATGATAATAGTAACCTAACTCAGTTGTTTGCGTGTTGTTGTTATTTATATACATTACCACTTATTATCAAAACGTGTATGGTCAGTGGTACATATTGAAGAAATCAACTTATTACTTATTCAGTTTCAAAAAGTGAAATATAGGATAAATATAAATGCTTATTAAAAAAAGTTACTTTGAAAAATTTTTGCTTAGATAGTTCACGTTAAATATTAATTAAGACTAGTTTGTTATATTTTGTACACCGTGCCCAACTAATATAAATATAGAAACAATGACTATTTTAATGATTAATTAAGTGGTGTTTTCCCAATATATTAAGAAATTATTAAATCAGTTTAGATTTACAAATACACTATTTGTTTATTTTAATTTGTAATATTTAAATTTTACACTTATTAATTTTTCAATGTGTAAACAATTTATATTTCATTTAATAATGGGATTTGTTTGTACTCTATGCGTTGTAATTGTTCTTATAGTTTATTTGAATGCGGAAAAGGTGGATCGACCTAACATAGTTTTCATTATTGCCGATGATTTAGTAAGTTTTTCAAGTGTTTATTTTTATTTTTAAATTGTGCATCAAAGATTATGTATTATTATTATAATCAACATATATATATATATATATATATATATATATATATATATATATATATATTATAATAGGTTATTACATACTACTTACAGGCAATAATTTGAATTTGGTTTTATTCTATTATCTATATTTACATTGAAATGTTTTTAAAGTAGAAAATACGAATTGTTACAGGGTTGGAACGACGTTAGTTTCCATGGGTTGGACCAAATTCCCACTCCTAACATAGACTTGTTAGCATATTCGGGGGTTGCATTGGATCGCTATTACACACACTGCATATGTACACCTTCGCGGTCCGCGTTACTTACTGGGAAATATGCACATACGATAGGTACACGCTTGTTTTGTCTAATATTTAACCTAATAGGCGATTATTAATATAGGTCATATCAGCTTTTAACTATCCACTGTCGAACATAAGCCGCCCCTAGAGGGAATTTTACCTGTAGTTGTTACGTTTGGCAGGCGGATTGGTAACCGCAGTTAGACTTTGGAGATGTTTTAAGAGGAACGCCTGGGGAGGGAGTATAGGATACTAGAGGATAAATAAATTAAAATGTGAGTAATAATATTATTTGGTTTTTCACTTTTCAGTTAAAAACTATTCATCAGTAATAAAATTTTAATAAAATAGATAATATTTCATAAGGAAAATTAATATTGTATTACATTTACCTACTTATTATAATACTCATAATAATCTAGAATTGGCTGGGATAGGTTTTTTTTCATGAGAAGAAGACAAGCATCTAAGCTAAAAAAAATATTTTTGGTTTTTATTATGTAACACTGTTGTATTGGTCTTTGTTACTATAGTAGTACAGTAGTTCTTTCTAGTGTGATAGTAGTATGACAATTCGAGGAATGAAGAAATTATAAAAATACACTGCGTCACCATTCAGTCACGACTCGAGATAAAAATAGAAATAGATAAAATAAACAATTTTCTAATGATTTTCTAATGACCTCGCAAATGTAGTTTGAAAGATAGTTTACTGTCTCTGGCAAATAATTTGACGCGTTCCTCCATAATACAATTTCTAATATCTATAACAAAGTTTCATGAATTAGCCCTAGCTAGAGTCGAATACTCGTATGTAATTTTGTGGGACTTCGCAAAAATAAATTACCGTTCTTTTAGGAATTATTCTTTATTTATTCACTATTATATCTTTATATGACTTTAATTTTATATTTGTAGGAATGCAAGGCTATCCTTTAGTAAATAGTGAAGACAGGGGTATACCAAAAACGGAGAAAATAATGCCCCAATATTTCAAAGATCTAGGCTATGCGACACATTTAGTTGGCAAATGGCATGTTGGTATATCCCGAACGGAATTCTTACCAACTCTTCGTGGCTTTGACAGCCATTTTGGACATAGAGGTGGTTATATAGACTATTATGAATATACATTAGAAGAAGATGTAAGTAATTCCTATATTATTAGATATTGTTATATAATTTTTTTTGCAATTTATTTTATTTTTTTAATTAATTTTAAATAGGTGGATATTATTAATATGCTTGTATTTTTAACGTTATATTCTGAATTAGAATAACATAATATTTATGTTGCTCCATTTCAGAATTTTAAGTTTTTAAGAATTTTTATTGCGTACTATAACGTACATAAATTTTCTCATAATTGGTAATACTTTTTTTACGAAAAAAAATCCTTAATTATGGGAAAACTATTATAACAATATTATATATATTTGTTTTTGGCGATACTCTATCTAAATATTATTTTATGGAGATACTTTATCTATGCAATTAAAGAATTAAACATGCTTTGAACAAAATCATTCCAAATTTATTAAGAAGGGTACGCTTTTACAAATTGTATTAATTTTGTAATTTACCTTTAACACACAGACATCGTTATGTTGTATATGATGTACCTACCGATTCTATGCCGGATATCGGCTCAGCTGATGGTAAGGGGATGTTCTTTATAGACAGATAATGAAAGCACTAAATAGAAAAAAAAAACAATGTTTGATTAGATTTTGCATTTTGCATTTTGCTTTTTTTGAGGGTATTTTGTAGAATTGAGATATAAACAGTTTGTCCATTTGAATAAATTATTCAAATACAATTTATTTACAGTTAGATTCAAGTAAGGTATCTGGTATGTGTTTATACAGAAACTTAACTCCAGCATGGGACGTAGAGGGATATATCACAGACGTTTATACAGAGACCGCTAAAGCAAGTAAGATTTCGTAAGACATAATTTAGATAAATTTCTTTGTGTTTATACATGGATTAGATAATAAAGATTGCACGAGAATTTATTAAATTTTAACATTCATGATTACTTTTCTCTCTCTATTTCACATCTTTAAAAAATATTTCCACACATCCTGTTCACTTTAATTTCTGTCCCGTAGTTTAAGATATAGATATACCTTATTTAATTAAAATCGACATTGATATTAAAGCGTGAAAAGTAAAATAAAAGTACGATCACAGTTAAATTCTTATTTATTCAATTTTTTTTAATTAAATGCATAAATATAGGAGTGCAAGGTGGAATTATTTTTAATGCTAGAGAATTATTTCATGATGCTTGAGAAGACATTACAATTAAAAGATAATTATACTTTACAGTAATAGAGTCACATGATGAAACAAAGCCTCTTTACTTGATGGTGGCTCATAACGCTCCGCACTCCGGTAACGATGGCGCCCTGATGCAAGCGCCACCAGAGGATGTTAGGTCCATGCGCCACGTCGAGTTACCTGGACGAAGAATTTATGCAGGTATTAGCTGAATTTAATTAAAGTTTACGTTTAACTACGTACTCGTACTGTAGAAATGTATTTATTTATTCAGAGTGAAATCGAAATCGTTAGCCGAATATAAAATTAAGAAGCGCTGTATATGCTGTAAACTGGGATAATATTAGGACATGGCAAAACTCCCCTTTTGAGCAAGGCCAAAATTTAGCAGTGGACAGATAACGGTTGATATTATGACGAGGATGACGATAAGACATAAATTTTGTGAATTAAAAATTTGAAGACAACAGAAAAGTTTGAGTTTCACATACTAATTTTACACCTCTTGTTAGTATGGGAAGGGGTATCAATATACGTTGGTAGGGCACTAGCGATATAAAATAGGTGAGGATGAAAACAGGTCGGTTAGCCCATTGTGATAAATTCCGCAAGAATTAACGACAGTGGTTTTCAGGAAGAGCCATGTGAAAGTCGATCTGATAGTTATTAATGGGGCTATTAGACCCCATTTCCTAAACATTCCTCCTCAACTCCTCCCCTCCTCCCGTCAAACAGATTATCAGTCAATCTGCCTCGTATACGATATTGAATATCGATAGATAGTAATGTGTCTTCAAAGTGATAATATTCGTATTAAAATTGAGAAACTATGATAACTATTTCTTGTTCTTGGCACTGTATACAATACATACAACCTAAATTTCAATATTTATTACCAAGAATAAATTCTAGATTTTTAATTATTACAGTATCTATTTTTGTCTTTTATTATGATGTCCTAATTATTGAACATTATTTTTAGCGATGGTGAAGAAACTCGATGAAAGCGTGGGCGATATATTAGAAGCGCTCTTACTGAAAGGAATACTTGAGAAAACCATAATTATATTTGTAACAGACAACGGAGGTATGACATCATCATCGAGTTATGGATCTAATTTCCCTTTGAGAGGTATGAAAATGTCTCCGTTTGAAGGCGGAGTGAGGGGAGTAGGACTGTTATGGGCGCCGGGCTTACTTCCAGATTATCTGTGGAAAGGTTATATACATGTAGCTGATTGGTTACCAACTTTATTAAGTGCCGTTGGAGCAAAACTACCTGAAGGCATAGACGGCTTGGATCTTTGGAATCATATTAAATTAAATAAAACATCACCCAGAAACAATATTTTTGAAATCGATGATTACACAGGATATGCTTCTATTATATCTGGAGATTTCAAGTTGGTTACTGGTAATGTTACGATAAAATATAGCCATCACAAGGGTAGAGATTTAGTAGGTGTAATTGGAACAGAGCATTCATACGAAGATAATATTAGAAAAAGTAAAATGTATTCCGTTCTCGAGAAAATTGGTAGGCCATTTAATATTACCAATATTTCTTTGAAAACCAACAGCAAAATAAATTGCAAAGGAAAAGATAATGAAGATAATGATCTGTGTTATCCTCATAATGGTAAGTTTTGTTCAGAGAATTTATTTTTTGGTATTAAATAACGGAAGAAGCCTACGTCATATCTAATGGAAAATAATAATGATGGACTAATGTCCACATGAGACATGTGTAATAGGATATACAGAATTGTCGCTGTGATATGTTTATATTTCTTGTGATCCGTAAGATACATAGACTATTTACATACACAAAAAATTTTAAGAATTTTTTATTTTTCAACCAAGCCAATCAAATTAATTATGAGCAACATTGAATTTAATTCTGTGTGTTGAATAATTTAATTCTGTATAAGATCAAAGACAACAATTTATTGCTCACTAAAACAAATCCATTTTTTGCAGATAAATTATGTTTGTTTAACATTAAAGAAGATCCATGTGAAAAAATAGATCTTGCAGAAGTTTATCCTGACTTAGTTATTAAACTGGAGAAGGATTTGAAAATGGAAATGACTAGATTGATACCTCGATATCCGATACCCGTATTTAGAGATACACGTTCAGCACCGAGATTGTTTAATTATACTTGGGCTCCATTTGCTGATAGTCTTTGAATGTAATAATTTGACATAGAATCAATTGATCGTAAGAAACAAGTCTGTCCTTTTACTTGTTACATTTTACGACTAAACTAATAAGTTTACCTGTATAATGTAATGAAATTTTGTTCAAATTAAATTGATCGCCGCAGAGAGATGGTTTTTTTTGAGAAGTACTTGGATGAACAGTGACGTCAAAAAAACTATGCGAATGGATTATTGATTAGTATTTTTAAAATATTGTCTTAAATATCTTCTGATAATAGTAAAACTATTAATAAACTGAATAGTGGAACCTAAGAGTAGAACTAATAGTAGATAGTACTATTAATAAACTATATTTGTAACCACTCTTCTAAAAAAAATAATTACACCTATATTTTCACGTAGGTACTGTGTTGTATTTTTCTTTGATAGTGCTTTATTAAAAAGCGAAAAATGTATAAAAATACGAGACAAATATCAATATCTATATAATGTAATGTATAACTTTTTATAATGACTGTTTGTACCAAAATAAAAATAAAAAAAGAAATAAAAATATCTTTTATAAATAAATATTAATTATATATTTGTAGAATATTAAATTATAAATAGAGATCACAGGAATTGTAGGCTATATATAATTTTCATTTATATCTACTATAATTTTAAGATACTTATTTTAAAAATCTTATAACACCTGCATTTGCGGGTTCTATACAATTAATTATGTATCTATTTACTTCAATGTGCTTGTATATTTCTTTACAAAATATCACAAAATTCAGGCAACTGTATCTAAAATTAAAAGCTTTACTTAGTTTATATAGTAATATTTTAACTTTAGCTAATAATTTACTCATCTGCAGCTAAACTGTAAAACATGTTAAAGTAGATACTTAGCAGGTAGATGCTTACTTACCTACTCAGATCGATTTATCTATGCATCAGTATTTTAGATATCTGTATTCATAGATTAAGTATAATACCTGTTCTGTATCTGTCTTTATGTACAAATATAAGAGCATCAACTATGTACTGATAAAGTGACAGTGATATATCATCTTCAACGTCATTTAAAATCTTATTTCGTTCGTTTCTTCAGTTGTTTGGTATACTTATTGATACCTCTGTTTAGATTTTTATAACAATTAAGATGTAATATATTTTATATATCCTATAAATAGGAACTTCGGTAATAACAATCGATACCCATAACTGGCCATTTACTATTCGAGTCAAAGTAAATCATGCAAGTAGGCTTCTATGGCTATAATTCTTTCTAGTTTATTATCATTTAAAGAGTCCTAGAGATTACCTTACGTACATAAAAACAAACAAATTTTCCCTCTATAGAGGTCATATACGTGTTATCTAAGGTTTATAGTTAGATTTCAAACTGTGTAAATTATTTTAAGTATTAGTTAGAAGGTTCATTAACCTTCTTACGTACCTAGTAAATAAATTACGATACTGTGTAATCAAAGATCATTTTGGTATTAATTTACATTTTGCTCTATGTTATTACGATTGAACATACTCGTATTTAGTTACAGTTTGGAGGAGGTTGAAAGACTGAAAATTCAATAACTCCTAGACATTCCAATTTGAAATGAGGTACTATTGATCCAGACTTACATATTAGGTTTTAACGTGCTAAATACGTCTACTATTATACTACATAATAATACATATTTTACTATCAGATTTTATTAATTTTATTCGAATTTGGTACAGACTATGCACTTAAGGTTTTTTTTTTTAATTTATGTGTGCATACCTCATTTTAATATGACTTATGACAGTTATTACGACTTAAAAATTTTAATTCTTTTAGAAAATGTGTGAGTTTATAAACGTATAAATTTACATTAACGTAACATTGAAATGTTTATTTATTTATTATTATAATGCATTCATGTACATACATAAGATAGGGTTGCTACATTTTTTCTAACTGGTTTGGATGTAGTAAAATTATATTGATAGGTAGCTAATATACATGAATTTAGATGTCAGATTATATTTAATTATTTTACATATAATTGCTTGTTTTTAAATCGATTTGTCTTGCATATTAATCATATAAAAATGAATTGAAGTCAGTCTGGGTATTTAGGTAAATATTTACGTCAATCTGATTAATTATTTGCAATATTTATACTACGAGTATATATATTTTTATTATTTACTATGAAGTAGTATTATTGTATTACCTACTATTACGAAAAATGTCAACAATTATACGTGTCTCTTGATAAAATGTGGTAAATATCACTTTTTTAATGTCATTGTTTATAATTTTTTATCAACCTTACATTACTTATGCCAAAGCATTAAAAACAGCGGACGATAACCGCCTCATAAAGCAATTTCCTGTATTAAATTCTTTAAAATTCAATTAAGTTATATTTAATTTTTTTATTTGTTTAATATTCAGTATTTAACAATGACACCATATTTTAATTCTGTTTTAGTTCGTGAGATTATTGTAAGTATTTATGATAGACGCCTACCTTCCACATTAATAATAACTTTAATAAAATTTGGCATACTAGCCTAGTGCTTTGTTTTGTTTCCATCTCTAATAATTAAGTTATTATGCTTCTTGTGTGTAATTTTTTTTTTATTTATTTCTAATCGAAGCGCAATTCCAGTTTGTTACTTTAAGCCAGAATTAGTATACACTGTATAGTGTAGTTTAATAGTTAATATTTAATATAAGAGTGAACGGTTTCTTTTTAATAAAACAGCAACTGACTGCTTTGTTTCACTGACGTTGCACTACCGATGAATTAGATTGGCAAAAAAATACCTAAAAGATATTCAATTATAATTAATCGCTTTGACTTAATTGTAAGGGAAAAAAAGTTGTTACGTGATATTTGTTTTGAACATGCAGGTAGGTAAAATAGAACCGTTCGATTTACATTTCAAATAATGGAGTACATACGTGTGACGTGTCAAACAGATTTTACTGTGTAACAAAATTAAAGAAAATCTGAAAGAGTGACTTATATAACATTAGTCAGAGAACCCACCTACAATCTTATGTGTAATTTGTGTGCACCGGCCAGCCCTGAAGATAGAATTTTACCGAATTGGAAAAAATATACCATAACCATAACGTTCACTGATAGCAGAGAGACATTATTTTAGTAGAGGTGGCAATCAATAGGCAAATCATTGTACGAATATTTGCAGAATTCAAAACATCTAGCGAGGATCTGTAATTTCGGGGATAATACCTGTAGTCAACGAAAACTTTTTATATTCTGGTTCGACGATAGAGCTTATAGGTTATATTTTAGGAAACGCATATATTAATTAAATTAATGAAAATAAATTAAAATTATACGTAATAAAAAATGGTAATCCACTACTAAGGAGGTGCAGGATTCGTCGATTCAATATTAACCAGATAGGTATTAATAGTATTTGTGAAAGAGATGATAGCGAGTTTCGTACTAATTTTGTAAATCATTTAAAAAAGGATTACGCACAAGTATTTACAGCCTTTTACTTAGAGGCGCATGTTAAAAAAAAAAAACAATTCGATTATCGTTAACAGATACGGAACTGGTGTACATACGCACGCGATCAGAACCGCTCGCGTTATAGAGCGCGAGCTGCACCGACTGCAAAAGAAGGGTTCCATATGTCCCATCGATCATTCCGATTATGGAATACCTATTGTATTTAAACCATTAGGTGAAATTTGTATTTGTAGTGATTACAAAAAGACCATAAATTGTAAACTAAAAAGAGATAACTATCCGCTGTCTCGGATAATAGAATTATTTGAATGTATGTTTATTTACAATTGTATTTCGACATACACCTTATAGTTTAAGTTGCATATCTGAAAAAATGGTAAAAACCATGGAGGAGACCCTACTCGGCTTCCCGAATATAGTAGTGTTTTTAGATGACATCTGTTAGTCTGGTAGTTATATGTATATGTTAGGTTAACTAAAATAGGATTCACTATTAAAATTAATAAATGTTCATTTTAAAAAGTAGTATATCGTACTTAGGTTTTGTAACAGATAAAAACGGGTTACATCCAGATATGTCAAAAGGTGACACCATATTGAAAGCACCACGGTCTAATCTAATAATTTTAAGAGATATTTTAGGACTAATTATTTATTATGGAAAATTTATTCCGAATTTGAGTTTCTTTCCTTTGTACCTCCACCCTTTGTACCAATTATTGAAAACAGATTCATTATGGGATTGAAATAAAAGTTTTGACCGAATGATATCGTTGTAGATTGTAAAACGGTAAACCTTATTAAAGTAAAACGAATTAAACTCTACAAACATGTTGATTCATTATACATATAAAAGATTACATAATAGTATTTGTATACGTTGTATGTATTTATCAACTCTAAAATAATTTACCTTATCAATGCAACGAACATTTGATATGGTGAGTGCAATGTTGATGTTATCTAGTATCATAAAATTCGAATATTTGTCGTGGTAGCTAATAAATAATGAAGCAAAATTTTACTAATGTAACTAGACGATCACTGTACTCGTACATGGAAGATGTTCAAGAAAAAATAATATGAGGGGTCTCTGTCAATCTGTTGAATAAAATATCAAATAGGTATCGCTATACTCAAAATTATATTCGTATTTGATATGATTTGCCATAAAAATATCTATTTAGTATTTTCACGTTAAACCTTCTGCAGTAATTCACTAAAATTATTTTAATTTATTTCAGATTTTGTAAGATGTTTTGATATTCATAGATAACAAGTATATATTTTTTTGCGGACATAACCGCAAAAAAAAAAACAGAGAATTGAGTCGAGAAATTTCGTACTAATAATCAATAAGATGTTTCATAGACACATAAGGTTGAAAATATTTGAATTTAAAAAGCGAAACCACATAAGCTTGGCTACGTAACAAACAGTTTTTTGCGCTGCAGAGAAAAAGGTGACAAAAAAATATTTACGTATTAATTAGTATTTATCCTTGCATAATCAAACATATGTGTAAATATGTATATACAAATACTTATCAAAATATATATTTCAATTTCGTGTTTAAGATTATATTTTAGGTAGGAAGGTATATGAAGTTGATGTCATTATTTTGTCCTTATCCTCATAAAAATTTATAGGAAGTTATGCGTACATTATTTAAGCACTTAAGCGGAAATAGTTTGTAATAACATCGTAAGTTTAGATCACAAGATGTGCGTCATAAACGATACGTTAGTGATTTATTTTGAAATATAGTATATTACATATATATTTTTTTTGTCTTAAACTATTTTTATTTTATTGATACTATTAGAAAAACACTTGTATTTTTCCACAACAAGGTAAAGTTAACTTTGAAAATTTATGTATTTATAATAATGTTATTATGAATTACAAAGTTCCGCCAAGTGCAAATAATCACAACTATTAATGTTTTCATTTATAAAAAAAAAAAAAGATTTTTTTTCAAAATTCAAAATATATAATAAACACATTAATAAAAAATTGGATACGCGATTTATATTGCAGATATGTTGTTTTCAATCTTCATTCATATTATTATCAGACTAGATTAGAGAGCTCATTGATTGCTTCTAATGAGTCACACGAAATTATTATTAAACTACATAGAAGAGACTGCCTACGCTATTATAACAGGCTTTAGTAGGGCAGACTTCTCTCTTCTTAATGTCAGAGTTGACAAGATAAAAGACTTCTTTAATAATTTTTACTAATAAATTCAAGCTTCAAAAGTATTAAATTATCCTATATTTTTTTTTTATAGTGTAACCCGTGAATTTTTAATTTTGAATTTATATAGAGATATTATTTAGTGTTATTTTGGAATAAGAACCATAGTTTCGCCATAATTTTGTCAAATGCATTCAGCCCCTTAAGCACGATTGAGAAACATTCCAACATCTTTCCAGTCTTTTACATTCATAATATTACTAGGAAGTGGAATTTAATATTTTAGTTTTATTTGTGGAATGTTATAACAGAAATTAAAAATAACTGGCCCGGAAAATTTACATAAACACTTGTGACCCATATGTCGCTTTTGTATGTAATTTTTAAATAGACATTGTTCCTGTTCAGTATTTAACCTTCTCATGGCATCGTGTCTGTAGGAATGTAAGGAAGGACCAACAAACAGTCCCTCATTCGCTCTTATTACATCGTTATTGTTCTCGAATACTTGTAGCAAACACAATTAGGCACAGGTTCGTTTGTTAACTGCTAACGAAAATTGAGGAAAACAATTTCATTTTATATAAGTATTCTTAGCGTTTCTATCACTTTTTAAATAGATTGTATTTAATCATTCCAAAGTATTGACTTATGTAAAATAGATTATATTATGATCAGCTTTTATTTATTCTACAAAAATTATATTCTTTATGTGGTGCAGTTAAGAGTAAATAAGTAAAAAAATTACCTCGATAATGTAGCAGTTTAACATACTGTCTCATTTTCAATTACAGTTTCGAGACTCCTACAATACAATTTTTTTTATTTATGAGTACATTTGTATTTTTCTAATTGAACTGTCAAATCTTAAAATCATTAAACGAAATTTCTAATGTAAGTAGTATATTCATTTATTTTAACATTTATTATATAAGTAGGTAGGTATTATATGTATTTATATTGTATGTATTTATGTAATATTATATTATATATTTTATTTAACTGTATATTTGTTTGTTTTAATAGTTGTAGCACTTCAGCTACCCGCTAACAACATGCATTTCTAACTGCATTGGGTTGACTGGAAGAGATCTCTGTCAGAGATAAGTTTACCCTTGCTCACAACATTTATAAATAGATTATTTTATATGTAACTTACAAGTACAATAAAGAATATAATAATACATTTGTTTGTATTGGTTTGGGTGTTTTCTATGTATAATATGTATGTATGTATGTATTAAAGAAAAGTGTTAGTATATAATATATAACCAAGGAGATTGAAAAAATGAAAATTTCGACTTCGATATAGAATTGTGGAATAAATCGTAAAATACCATAAAAATTATACAAAATCCAACAATGAGAACAAAGATGAAATAAAATAATCTTAATTTATCACTCATGAGGTAGATTACAATGTTTTCTCTATAAATAATAAAATTGTCTTTAAATCTTAGATTACAATTAATGAATTCTCCAATCACGCTACGTGTTAGTGCTTGTAAGAACTTGGATTAGTCTGGATTCTAACCTAGGTTGAATCCTTTTTCCT